GTTCAAGATATGCACTGCTATCCATCTTAACCTCGGGCAATCTACTTTCTGAATGTTGTGGGGGTGGAAAAAAGGTGGGGTGTTAAACATTGGGCATTGAAGAGGGAATGGAATATTCGTCTGTGCCAATTTTTTAATTTAAAGGTTTTTTTAAAAAAAATTTTATCATTTTGTGTGTGTGTGCCGTCAAATTGGATCTGACTGGTACAGGAGGAGATTGTCCCTCCTTCCCCAGCAAAGCATCTGGTGGATTCAAACTGCAGCTTCTTACCTCTCGGCCACCAGAGCTACCTTAATTTAAAGTTTTAAAAATATATGTTTTATTCTATATGTAGAGGCACAGTTTGGAAGTTAGAAAAAGCTCATTTTCTTCTTATTTTTTCTCATCATAGCAGGACTTTCTTTGCTTTCTCCTAATATTGGCAAAGCAAATAGAAACATAAAGCCTAGTGGATGGATTCATACTTTTTATGAATGTGTTTTATATAATTCAGACTTTTTCAAGATGTAACTAGAATAAACTCAACAAGTTTGACAACTGATTTAATAGGCTACAGAACCCATTTGTTGATACTGTCTTTTCTATTGATAACTATTGCATGTCAGTGAAAAGAAAAATTGCTTTTCATTTCTTTCTGCCTTCTAGTAAGTATACTAAAACCACTAAGTTGTACACTTTATGCTTTCTTTAAAAACTATTTCTCACAAAGTTAACTTACAGTGCTATACTTAAAGTGAGATTTTTGCCTTTAACAAGCATATATACAATATATAAAAGTATATTTACAAAATACAAAAATCAAGTCTCTAGCTTAGTTTTTCACTCACGTGAAAACTTTATATAAGTCTAAAGAGAATACAAATAGTCGTGGCTTCTTGTGAACATCTGGACACAATATTATTCACTGTTAGTTGTAAATTAATTTTAGGCACTCATAGCCAGGGCTGATATTTTTTAACATTAATCAGCTTTATCAAAATTTCTTCTCTTAATGCAAAGGAAATATGCCTGAAATATCAATTTTTTTTTCCCTTGACTCTTATTCTGCAAATAAAATCCTAGATAATCCTAAGGGATTTCTAGCTGTGACCCAGTTATCGAGGATTGATATGTATTTAAAGTCCTATTGATTTGTGAAAAGTTGATCTGTGGAAAATGTTTTAAATCTTTAAGGAAAACTAAGAAATAGTCTTCTACAGAGCTCTCATTAATAAATAAGGTATAATTTTATTTCCATCTCATTAAAAATTAAGGAATTTTAGTATGAAAACCTTTTAATAGATGTTTTCTGGAAGCCACTATTTTCTTAGCATGATGCAGCTTCCTAATAGCTTTTTGGGTGCTGTTACCAAAATGTGGTTTGGCCTAACAAGATAAAGAATAAGGGTGGGGCAAAATAATAATTTAGGAGAAAAAGATTTTGTTGCAGTTGACAATAGCAAAAGTTTACAGGGAAGAAAGTATACACAAAGAACATATCATGCTGTCTTCTTTCCTCCTATGTAATACTGGGCTGTTTTTCTTATTTATTCTTAAATAAATTCTTTAAAAAAAGCTATTTATTCTTAAAACGAAGAAACCTATTACTAAATCACTAGATGTTTCTAAATGACTGATTGGGGTGTTTTATTAATATCACTTAGTTCATTAATTTTAATTTTTTCCTATAAGTTACTAGGAAACAGTAAAGTAAGAAAAAGGAAAAAATGGAGAGTGGAATAAACTATAATAGATACTAAACTAAAATCACACTGCTGTTGAGGTGGAACAAACTCCTAGCTGATCCTACTGTTTCTAATTTATTTATTGTTTCTACATTATTTATAATGTAGGAAGAGGTGGTTTATCTTTCTCTCCTAGGACCACTGCTGGATTTGAACTACCAGAGAGGTGCTTAGCAATTCAATTCCCTAAGGACTAATCACCAGAACATCCCATAAGTCTTCTTGTTGTTGGTATGTATCAATTCAGAACGGACCCCTAGCAGACCTTCCATTGAGTTTTCAGAGTCCGTAAATCTCATGGGAGGAGATTACTCATCCTTCTTCCTGGCTTCTTCCTGGATTCCAATATTACACACCTTTGAGATTGCAGTGCACTTTCTTACCGCTAGGCCAACAAAGCCCCCTAATCTTGAGTAGGTGATGCTTCCTTAAATCCCCAAATAAAAAAAAATATATAAAATACAAAGTAATCTTTTGGATCTAGACTTGATTTTAAAAAAAAATCTCCCTTTTCCTAATTGTTTCAAGTTTGTCATAACAGGACACGCTCTGCATGACTTTAGGTGAAGAAACATTCATCTTGGGACACACATGGAAATTTCCTGTTAATATATTTTCTAGTAGTAGAGTTCTCTAGAATTTACTAGAATGAAATAAAATTTCATGAGAAACAAAACCAGGTCTACCCACTAGAATAAGATTATTCCAGAGGAGGAAAATGTCATGAGTACTTGTACTTTTCCACTAACAAGTAATGAGATCGCAGTCTAGTAGTAATTTTCTTGATATTCTAGTAGTGTCATATAGTTAGGCTTCTCTTCTTAGATCTTTAGGCCTAGCCCAAAATAGTTTTTCTCCTAATAAGATTCCTTTTCCTTTTAATTTTGATGAATTTAAACACCTCTAAATCAAACATATTTTGCATTGGTTCAGATGTCCCTTTTCTATTTAATATTTAAAAAAAAAATAAAAGTAAATATCTAGGATAAGTGTTAATTTGAGCCCAAGGACTTTAGGAAGAATCTAACACGTTTTCTAGAGTTGGGTTAACTTAAGAATCAATTGGATGCCATATTCTTTAGGACCATACATATGTGGACAAAATAATTTGGCTCTTTTCACATTTTCTACCACATAAAAGTTAAATAAAAAAAGGAAAACAAAATAGAAACTATTGGGATTTACAGAGTACAGCAATTGTCAAATGTAGTTGCACATTACTGAATCTATTTTAAAAAGAAAAAAAAAGGATGATGTCAGTCTTCTACCTGAATGCCTTGACTTTCTGTTATAATTGGTCTGAGGGGAGACTTTGCCATTTGTCAAAACCAGCCCAGGTTTCCTATGCACAGTGAAGATTGGGAGCCTGCGCTGAGCCTCTCATTTTCCAGCTGTGATTTCCAAGCCTGACTGCAGTTAACAGGATTGAAGTGCTGTGGGGACTTTCCATTGTTATTGAAATGTAGAGATTTAAATTGGAATCCTGCCTGATTGTTGATCACAGAATCCCATTTAAGAGTTCACAAACTTTTCTATGCTCATGAGGGATTTCTTCCCCCGCCCCTTGAAGTCTGAAGAACTGAAAAAGGAACTAGGGTAAGGCGTTTTGGCCACAGTCAGATTCTCCCACTCTTTTAAACTTTTTTTCCTTTTACAGCATGCTGGAATAAATGACCTTTTTAAACTTTTTTTTTTTTAAAGGACCATAGGATTTTTAAATTGGAACGTCTAGTACTGTATTCTTTACACCCCTAATGAGATTCGAGTAGAAATACTAAATATTTGGTGCTTGGAATTTTAGATTATTTGTATTTCAAACAAAAAGCAAATCTTCACAGTTGTAGCAAGACTAAGTGCCTCAGCCCTGTGTTTGTACCTCAGCCTATCAGATGTTCCTGGAGCTCAGTCCTAAAACTCTAGAGGATTTTGGTAATAACACTCTTACTAAGTGTTTGAAGAAATAGCTCGTATCAAGAGTCCTTTAACTGCTTCAAGACAAATGAAGTAGTACCTCTGTCTGATGCTTAAAGGAAGAAGGTAGAAGATTTCTTGGCAGACTTTTTAAAAATCCAAGTGAAGACAGTGAATAAAACTGTTTCTGAATGGGAAACTGTAAAAAGATCAAAACAATCAACATCTGACTTCAGTTTTCTTGCTTGAAATGACTTTTTAGTCAATTGATTGAGAAAGGGAGAACTATTAAGAGACATTCTATATTTTCACTCTTTTCCCCAGTGTGGTAAAGGAGAGGGCCCATGGAAATCCTCCATGGAATGAGTGGACCTAACAGCTACCACAATGGACTCAAATATACTGAAAGTCATAAAGATGGCCAGGATCAGGTAACACGACTGGAGCAGTAGTAATAAGTACGTTTGAGATGGCTAGGTTGGCACAGGATAGAACAGCATTTAGAGTTCTTGTACTTAGGGTCACTATGAGTTGCGAGCGACTCGATGGCACATAACAACAACAACAAGCTCACTATGAATCAGAGCTGTCTTGATGACAACTAACAGCACTGACATTTTATGATCAGGGGGCTGAGTAAAATGGGGCTGGATAAAAAGAATTCACTGTGGACAAGTAAAAAAAAACCACACACACACACACAAGCCAAACAAGTAGGGCTGTGAGAAAGCCTGGGGAAGGGTGGGAGTTCTAGGAGGGGAACATGTGTGGTCTAATTTCTGGTGATAGACCTGAATTTGTTTTAGCTATATTTATAACACCTCACATCAATTTCTGGGGAAGTCCCCAAGGGCTACCAAGATGAAGTTCCAAATTGATTGGACTGAATGTTCAGATTGTAGTGATGCTAAATCCACAAAATTTTTTGACAGCTTTTCATGAACTCTGTTCATCAGCCAGGTCCCACTGAGCAGCTAATGGTGAATGCATTGGGAATAATATCCACACTACCTTTCCTTTGCTTCTTTGTGACATTACGTATTATAAAAATTGCTATGAACTGAAATTTAAGACATTGGCATCTACTTTACTTAACTATATCCTCTGTGTAACTGACTGCCTAGGACTGTTCGCCTCCAACCCCCTTAATGGGAAAAGGATCTCTATGGGGCCAGGTTTTGTAAACAGAGTCCCAGAACACCAAAGAACCTTGGGGAATATACTTTGTGGGCCATAGATTTCTGCATTAGACAAGAGGCTCTTTAGCCATTCAAACTGATAGAGCAATAATCTCATAGTATGATTCTAGAATTAATATAATACGGACTTAGGAAAGGCATTTCGTCAGGGAAGCCACGACTTCTGATCATTAGGGGCTGAGTTAGAGATATACTTCTTTCATACAGTTTTTTGTATGTTTTATTCTTTAAAGAGAGTTGTCTTCAGAAGGCTCCATATGCATCCCCTCGGGCAGTCACTGCAAAAGTGGGGTAGACCTCATAAGTTGTGTATGCTGCTAAGTCTTGTCCAAGGGCCATCGCGTGCTTGAGCTGGGCTGCAGACACAGGAGCGGCAGCACTAGTGACAGCATATCCTGAGAAGGGAGCAGAGGAAAACTTAATGAAAGGGACTGGATTTGCTCCCTTTTGATTTCTCTTCTTTCGGTAATATACATGAAAGTGTATTGCTTAAAACTAAAACTAAAAGTGTTTATTTTAAAAGGCATCTTCAGAGGACATGATATTTTGTCTCAGTGAATTTTAAAATAACATTTGAAAGCCTTCGGAGAGTGTTCATTTGGAGATAGAATCCTGCTGTCAAAATCACCTGATACTTAGAGAATTAGAAACACTGTGATAGGATTAGGAGGTACAAAAAGAAGTAATAAATATATTATTAGGCTAATTCATTGGAATGTACAAGAAACCAAGGAATAAAATTCCAGAAAGTGTTTGATAATAATAATATAATAATAAATTTTAGTGACTTTTCTCTCATTCTCCTAAATATACTCATCATACAGCTCCTATTGGTTCAAATTCATTCTTGAAGAAGAGAATGTAATAACTATTACCTAAAAGTATTTCTTTTCCTGGGAGTAGTATCTTAGACCAAAACTTGGACATTTCTGAGACTTAACTAAAAAACCGTGGAAAATGAAAAGAGAAGTATGCTTAAGCAATGAGCAGATGTTTGATTAAAAAGATATATTTAAGATAAATCAAAAGGGGGCTCTGATGGCCTGTTGGTAAGAAGTGATGCTGCAGTCTTGAAGCTATGTGGTTCAAATCCCCCAACTGCTTCATGGGAGAAGGATGTGAAGTCTCCTTCCAAATGTGATTAACTGTCTCTGAAAACTTGCTGGAGGATCAGTTATGGGTCGGTTCCAACACAACAGTACTCAACAACAATAACATTTAGTTTATATATTGTATAAGTCTGCTCAAAATTATTTTTTCTCTCTTCTTTTTTCCCTCCCTGGTGGTTTCTTAGCAAGAGGTGACTGGAAACTGGCTGGATTGTTGGTTTTGTTTTTGTTTTTGTTTTATGAGTGCATTCCTTGGCTTCTTGGGAAGCTAACTGAGGTGCTATAATGAAGTCTGACACATTTTCTAAGGCTATTAAAAGTTACTTTCATAGTTTTGAAAAGAACTATATTTCTAAAGTAAAGAAGTATGTGCACACGTGCGTATGTTTGTCACAGATTTTGTCTTGGGAACTTTGAATTTAGTAGATTACCCAAGTATAAGTATATTTGAGTTTTGAAGAGATTCTTCCCTTTAGAGTCTATTATTTTTGCTTGACTGCACAGTAAAGTTGCAACACTGGCTCTTACATTTTTATCCATTCCTAAGACAACTCTTTGTCCTAAGGAGTTTAACTCCTTGGAGAGAGGAAATAGTAGTGAGCTTTAGACTAACCTTTATTGGCTAAAAGCAAAGCCTCTGCAGTGTGAAAGCAAACTTTAAAATCTTGCTGACAGTGGCGCATTTATTTTTATACACATTAGTCAGGTGCCTGTAGAGTGCAGCTTTCCAAAAGATAAGGACTTCATATTTTGCAAGCCTGCAAAACCCTGGCACAAACCCCCATAGGATGACACAGGGACATCCTATTACATGCAAAACAAGCACAAGGACTGATGGTCGCAATGCTGCTGAGGAAGGACCTTACCCTCTGTAATGCCCAATGTTGCCTTGGTAACTTTGCAGTGAATTGCCACAGATCACACAACCAAGCAGCCAGAATTGAGGTCACCACACTCACATGGGAAGAACAATTTGTTTCATGATCTCTTGTCAGAAGGAACAAGACTTTGCCCTTTTGGGAATAACAGTAAACTCAGGTTTTTCCAACAACGAGGAATATTCAAGTGCTCACACCTACACATACACAATATGTGAATTAATGGATTGATAGGAAAGTCTTCCTTCTGTACATTGAGTTACTTTAAGTTGGAGCGAACTAGATGGCATGTAACAACAGGTAGACTTCATTAATTTTATTTTATGACTAGTATGGCAAGTCAATGGCTAATGTGAATAACAATTTTTTTAAAAAAAATCTTAAAATAATGCAACCGTTCTGAGCGTTTTTGACATGAGATTATTTATATATTGAAAAAAATCTGTCTCTATTTGGTGCTCCATGTAATTAAATGACTTAAAATAATTGAAAAAAATGTAATATAAATAATTATTTCAGAAAGCAAAGTAGTGAAAATAGAACACTAGTACTAAAGAAGGAGCCTAAGGATTTCTTAAAAACAGATTGACTTTGGGTGAGTTCCTTAACATTTGCAGGACTTAATTTCTCCATCTGTATAATGAGCATTATGCTAAAATCAAACTCTAGGTAGTCTTATGAGTAGTACCAAGAGCATATAAAGCAAGATGTGCTTATGGGTGAATAGGTAGCACAGAGGAAGGACTCAAGCAAACATCAGGCATTAGTAGCTTGTTTAGAACTCTTTTACTTAAAGTGAAGATAAAGATAAAACTCACATAGTTTGAGTTTTAAACATCACACAGCTACTTACTAAAGTCTCCTTGTGCTGTCTAGCCTAATTCTCTTCTTCCATGCTTAAATGGCTCCCTCGGTCAAACTTACTGATAACCAAAGGTGAAAGGTGTGATTGCTGTAGATGGAGTTCATGGGCAAGTCCATGAAGATGAAGTTCATGGGCAAGTCCATGAGCCCACAATACCTTGCAGTTCCCATACAATCTACAGGGTGCCGTTTCTGACATATTCTTCCATACCTGGAAAGGCAGCAGTGGCAGCAGCAGCTGGGCTTTCGGCTCCATCAATGGGGATGCCCAGGGTCTGTAGGGTGTACTCTGCTGCGTACGTCTTTGCTTCATCCACATAGGCACTGAGCTTTGGAGGTGTGAAAGGGTGGCTGGAAAGTACAATCGGTCTGGGTAAGCATTTAAAACATTTGCTACTATGTCCAGTGAAATCCCATGGTATTGTTCACTCTTTAAGATGATTGGGTTTTGTGTGGTAATTTCCACTCTCTTTGCTATAAAAACTTCTTAATATACATGCATGCAGGTATATTTGTGATTTTAGCTAGAGCATTGGTGGTGGAGAACATTTCAGGCATTCTTGAAATTCATGATATGACTTTTCTAAGGTAGGTGTGGAGCAAACTCTTTCCTGAATATAGACTGTAGCCTCTGTAAAATTTAGAAGATGATATTCACCAACAGAAGATGTTGGCATTGGTCCACAATTTATGTGATGGGGATATGTTTTTATTAAATATAAAAATGTAAGTTTCTTATGATTCAATCTAAATAGTGCCAGATAAAATATGTTATTGCTTTAATTTCTTTCTACATTTCCTATTACCAATGGTTTTCCATTGATTTATTATCTTTTCTATACAGTCTCAATCTATATGAAAATTTGGGGGTTTTATATGCCATTCTCATCAGTGGCATAGGTATCCCAAATATATACCACAAGCTCTATGGTTAAGTAAGAAACCTAGGCAGTAGAGCTGGATATTACTTGAGTATGGAGTGACTGAATAGTCTTAATCTTCACAGACCTTTCATGCTAAAAAAATGGAATGGTTAGAGATTTGAAGAAGCTACACACATTGTAGGGTTCTGGCTGGCCAGAGCAGGGATGGTGATTTTGTATAAGAATAGCTGTCTTTGGTCTTGTCCAATGGCAGTGTGCAGTTGGTACACTGGTTGTCCCCAGTTATTTTTCTGACAAATTTCTTCTAGTATCTACAAGAGTAAAAAAAGAAAGAAGTGACTTCCTCGTCAGATGTATGTTTCCATTATTTCTCTAGTTTTCAGATTTTTATACTAGTCTTCAGAGTTTAATATAAAAAGATATAAAATGCCACATAATTTAAAAATTCCTAACATTTTAGATGTATTCTATGTAAGCTTTACTAATACTGGAGTCTATTATTTAACAAGACTATTTTCCAACTGTTTATTCAAATATGTGTTACTTCAGCTGATTCATTATAACTTAATTCTATAATCTATGTCTGACTTTGTTTTTAAAGTGCTGCTATGGCATGATGTGACTGGATTTATTCATCATTGTCCTTCATTTTCCATGTTTAATATTGTTCAAAGCTGTTATTCCTCTCCTCATGTTATTTATTCAGTTATTTTAATCTTGAATTTTAATCCAAATGGGGTTTAAAATTTTAAAGAATTAATGGAGGGATATTTACAGTTACAAAGTCTTTATTTGCTTGTCAAGACACTGCTACAGGCTATTTTTTAAATTACCTATTTTTTTTAGCATCTTTCTGAGTGATTTTTTTTTTTTTACTTCTGCCATTACTCCAAAAATATTTTCAGAATTATTCTCAGAATCATTTTTATTCGCCCATTAACCTTAAACCTTGCGCTAAAATCAGTTGAGTCCAAACTGGACATAAATGTGGGAAAATCCATGGACTAGAATAGGTCCCTAGAATGTGTATGTATTTAACTTTGTATCTCGTTTGTTTTAACACTAGTCAACTGCAAATTCATGCCACTTTTCAATTTATTAAATTTATAAATGACTTATTTTCTTTGTTAAGATTTCTCTTTACTATTCTTGTAGCATCTACAAAGCATCCTCTAAGATTCTTGGGCCATAGTAAATGCATTTTAGCCAGCAGATAGCCCTCTGCCTGTGCATGTCCAGTGTGCAGACACACGCTAAAAGAGTGCAGCCTCCAACAGATGTCGCAGGGCAATGCTTGGCCCCTCTGTTCTTCTGGCTGAAGTTCACGATTCAACTCAGCTATGCGTGTGTTAAGGCTCCATTTATTGGTTGGGAGTTGAGTGGTTTTCAATTTCTAAGTTATGGAAATTCAGGCACAAATTAATTTAAAGATTCCTAAAGATTTTGATGCTCTGCCTCACATACTTTGGGCACATGGCCAGGAGGTACCAGTCCTTGGAAAAAGACATCATGTGTGTAAGGCTAGAGGGATAGGACAGGAGAGGAAGACATGGGATGAGATGGATTGACTCAGTAACTGGAGAAATGAGATTAGGTCTGTTGGAGACGTTGTTATTGGCTCAGGATAGGGCAGGATTCAAAGCTAATGTGCATAGGGTTACTATGAGTCACAGGCAACTTGATGGCACATAACAACAACAACAACAACAACAACATTGGTTTCTAGAAATAGTTCCTAATATGTTGTTGTTGTTGTTGTTGTATACTATTACATAATAACATGAATATTAGTGTAAAGCATGATTCATTTCTATCTTGTACCTAAAATAGAAAGCAGAAATTTTACTCATGTTGTGACAGCTCTCAGAAGCTTTATATTGGACTACTTTTTTCAATTTATCTTTTTAAGCTGTTGTGCCTCAGGGGCAAATTTAGTTCTAGGTTAAGGATCATCATTGTTTAGGGATTCCAATAGTCTCCACTGGGTCTTGCCATGACTGTGATTTTTAATTACTTTCTACATTTATATCCTTCTCTATTCAGGATCTTCTACAGTGATCCTGTTCAGGGTAGTTAGCAGTGGTAGCCAGGCACCATCTAGTTCTTCTGGTCTCTGGGACATAATGTTGAGGATCCATTTAACCCATAGAGTAACTGTCTCCATTCATCTTTGATTTACTTCATTCTTCTTTGCTCCAGATGGGGAGTAAACAATGGTGGTTGCCCTTAGATAGCTGAGTGCAAGCTTTTAAGTCACTAACCACCAGTGAAGAGCACAGAACACTGTTTTGTGGTCTGTGATATGACAATTGACTTTGGTGTCCCCCAAGACTGGCGTCACAATCAGTGATTCCTCTCCTCTGGTGTTTGGCTAAAGCCTTACATAATATTTTCCCTTGTTGGCTCTACAGCTCTATAATGATGTTCACTTTTATATTCCTAACATTTAACATATGGAAGAAAGCTTCTTGCATAAAAAAAAAAAGGAAGCAAAACTCACTGCCATTAACTCCATTTCAACTCATTGAATACGTTGTTACTGAATTTGTTGCTGGAATGAACATTCTTTTTTCCCTTTTCTTTTTTAGGTACCTGGGTTGGTTAGGAACTCAGCAGTTAACCAAAAGATTGGCAATTCAAACCCATCAGTCACTCCATGAAGAAAGACACTGTGGTCTGCTGCCTTATGAGTCAGAACTGACTTGATGGCAATGGGGTTGGTATGGGTTTAGGTTTTTGTTATGTATCATTGAGTTGGAACAGACTCAAAGCTGGTCCTTCAATGGGTTATCAGAAGCTGTAAATTGTATAAGCGGAGACTGCCCACCTTTCTTCTGTGAACTTGCTGCTTGATTTGAGCCTTTGAGTTGAGAACGCAACTCTTTACCACTAAGTCACCAGAGTTAGGAGAGATTTTAGTAGACAGTTGAACTTGGGTTTTTGGCACTATGTTAAAGCCATTTATTATAAAAAGAAATAATGAAAATGAGCTTTTAGAAAATCAAGTTTCCTACTTGGTTGCAATCATAAGAGGTTCTTCCATAAATATGAGGCTTATTCCTTTGGGATGAGAACAGGGAAGCTTGCTGCATGGTGGATAAGCTATAACCTTGAACAATCTGACACTGATCATTCATCCCAGGAGAATCTCAGAGAGGTCTTGCATAAGCAGAGAAACTGCAGGGTTAACAGATCCTGTTTTGCTTTTAAACTCTCCTTTTTCAGTTTCTATACTAGAATAGCTTCAAATAACTTTTAAAATTTCTAACAATGGAATATTGAAACATGGAAACTTAGAATTATGAAATGAAAATAATAAAGTTATTTACCACTGGGTAAATAGTGCCGTTGTGGAAGATGTCATTTTGTATGACTTATGGCATCGCATAGTTAAAAGTTTCACTTAGATACCGTGGTGGAATTTTCTCTTAAAATAAGCACACTGCTTCCAAAAGGGATCTCTTAAATGTTCTAGTCAAAGTTTCCTCTCGTGAATACCCTGCACTGCCAAGTAATTTTGCTCACAAATAGGCATTTATTCTGAACTGGGATCTTGGCCACATTTTGTTTTCTTTTAAAGAACTGCTTGTTAATTCTTAAAAATTCCTGTATTCTTTGTCTTTCCAGTAGATTAAGGTTTCAAATGTACTTGCAATTTCTTTCACTTAAACAACTGAAACGCTATATAGTGAAAAATGGCATGCAATAGTTAGCATCTACTCAAAATACATAACGTCTTTTCCGTGTAAAGAAGAGGAACAACAATAGTCCAAGTTCTCGTAGTTAGCTGCTTTTGCATCATGCTGGTGAGCCCGTTCACGATGGGATGGGATCACTGTGATCCATAGAGGTCTTATTAGCTGATCACCAGGCCTTTTGTCCAATGTAGTCTTAACCTGAGAGCTCTGCTGAAACCAATTCAGCAACATATAAAGAGTTTACTAATGGAATATGGATCACACTAGATTTTCATTGACTAGGAATGAAACCTGGGACTTCCTCACTTTTGGTAATAAATCTGCCACTGCACCACCATTGCCTTCAAACAGCCCAAACAGAAAATCAAATAAAGCTCATCTCATAAAAAGTGACAAAGGACCATTGGTTCAATTTCAAGGAACCAACTTTGGAATACATTACCTACCTGTGGAGCGAGTTTAATTCCTTGGGGTTTTAGTGTGACAGGATTCATTGGGGTGAGCTCCATCCCAGGCAAAAGGTCGTAGAGTTTATCTTCTCTCTTGTCTCCTTTGACCTGGTATCCACGCCCCAAGCCTGTGTATGCCAAGTAGCCACGGCCGCCCAGGCCTCTCACTCCCGCAGCCCCTACAGGTACATTCATGTAAATTTCTAGGAATGTAAGAATGATTAAACTGAATCAAACCACCAGAAAATCACCCTGAATCTCACTGTAATGAAAAAGTTAGCCCCACACACATTGATTATTATCCTGCAAATAAGCAGAAAACGTTAGGATTCTACATAATGAAACTCAAAATAGGGTTCACCCTAGTTGGTCTGGGGGTTTTCTACACTATGGAGAAAGCTGGGGGCTCTGGTGGCATAGTATGTAACATTCTATGCTAACCAAATGGTCAGCAGTTCAAATCCACAAGGCACATGGTTGGAGAAAGATGAGCAGTCTCCTCTTGTTAAGTTTTACAGCCTTGGGAACTCAGTGGAGAGTTGCTTTGAATCAGGACTGACTCAATCAAAATAACTGCTTTTGGGATATGGAGAAAACAATTCCATCCAAACTATTATTAAGTACATGAGCAATGGAAATTTTTGGGTACAAGGAAACATTTTGCAATTTTTGTTTTCAGAGCCTTTTGTTGATATTCAGAAGTTTCTTTATGAAAACCTCCTGGTGTAATATCACCACACATATTGAAACCAGTCTTGCATAGAGACTGTTACTAACTAGAAAATCAGAAACAAACATCAGCTTCTCCCATAACTCCATCCCCTCATTCATCTATTGAAAAGTCAGCATTAAGATAGACTGATTTTTAGTTCATCATTCTCACTTTTATGTTCTGTCGATGTGAGACAAATTTTTATAGAGTTTCATGCATAGATTCCTTTTGTTTTCTGCTTTGCCACATTGCTAATTTGATCTCCTATTGGTGCCATAAAGAGGTAAGAAAAATTAGATTGATTACCCGCCATTCATGAATATCATTGATTCCTTTCTTGTTAAGATATTTCTTCCCCCATAGTGAAGTTAACATTACAACTGGTTGACAACTTATATTTAATGTATGGATTCTTTAAGGATGTGGTTATAGATTACCTATGAATAATAGTTTAGTGACATCATTCGGCATCATATAGACAGATTATCCTAATGGAACTCCTCATGACTTCGTCTTTATTATAATTTTTAATAATTGTAATATGGAAGCCCTGGTGGCATTACGGGAAAACCATTTGGTTGGAAGTTTTAAGGCTGCTAAATAAAACAGCTTCTAGGTGGAGCAATATTTTTTTTCTGGAAAAAATAGCAAAACATGGTAAAAAATGTTTCCTAGAGATACCCTTTTGATTCTATGTCAAAAGCAAGAATAGATATAAGTTTGCAATTTCTTTGCTGAATTGCCTAGATTGATGTCATCTTTGGAAGACAAGGCCAGTATTTTTGTTGGTGTTAGTGAAATCCTGAAGGGTCCACCAAACAGAGATATATTCGTTTCTTGGGGGTGGGGGTGGGGAAGTGCCTTTCTTAATGGCTATATTGCTTGAGCTAACTGAGTTCTCTAAATTGCTTGAGTATTTGGAATTCTTACAGGATTAAAATAGGAACTGTTTATTGTCAGGCAGTAAAATGGATTTATTTTTCCTATCTGGAATTTATTCTTTAGTTCACACATCCTCAAGAAAAGAGTTGATTTCCCTAATAGTGTGGTTTTATAGTAGAACAAATACATTTCTGGGGGAGGTTAAATAAAAGTATGTCCTCTTTCTATTTGGATACACTCAAGGTATTTTGTGCTTACCCATGAAGTTAATTCCACTGACTCACTATCAAGTTCTTGTACACCTTGAATTTTTTTCCCTGTTTGAGATGCTTGGTTTTCTTACACCATACTTCTTTTATTTGAGAATTTTGTACTGAGTCATGTACAACTGAAAGATGAGTGTTCAATGATAATGAAGAAGCTCATAGTTATTGAATTGGCTTTTTGTGTGTGCAAAATTTACTGGTCTATGTAAAGATCAAATTTATGCTAAGGACACATTTGCACTATACTCAGACCAAGGTTTTTTTTCAATAACCAGTTGTAATGTGAAAAAAAGATTCCTTATGAAAGGAAAACTATTGATATATTAGATTGTTTTAAAATGAACAATTCTCCTTTCCTCCCAGTGGATAAAATTTGCTTAAGGTATTGCAATGGAAAGAATTTGAAATCTTAAGGCAAGAGCCGACTGGTGTTACCTCTAATGGAAGGGGCCCGGATAATGGCTCTGTTGGTGAGGTGTCCTTTGGAGGCTGGGAAATGAAGGCTGGGAACTGCTGCATAGGCTTGGGGAGCATAGAAGACAGGGGCTCCGAGGTAGGTTGTGGTGGGATCATAAACATGGCCCAAAGAATAGGTATATTCTCCTTGCAGCATGGTGTTCCTTCCTCCTGTGCCCCGGGTGTACCTAACATAACTGTCCTTGTCCACTGGTTTGGCTAGAGTCACTTCAATGGGAGAACCATCCAGCACCTATTGTAAGGAGAAAGAAGAAACCAGCATGAGAAGATACCACACAATATGGTTAAACTCTAGAAACATTTATGCTTCATTTGCTGCTGTGTTTATGGATTTCTTTTCATTCATATATCTTGTTTCTCTCTAGCCAAGTATATATTCATGTGTTTACTGATTCTCAGTGCAAAATAATTCTCTCATATGCTATATATTCAAACCTTTATTATGCTAATGAGGCAGGATTATAGGCAGATATATAAGGATGTAGTCATTCCTCATGTTGTGTTCTGAGTGGTGACCAGCCAGGATAGGGGAGGGTGGAGCACCCTTAAATCCAATCCTGATCTGATGAAAGGGAGTTTTCCCTGAGTTGTGGCCTATAACACCTTTTGTCTCCCAGGAGATAAAAGGAAAGAGGAAGTGACCAAAAGGAAGACCTTAGTACCACCAAGACCAAGACCAGGAGTTCAACATGTCCCTTGAATCAAGGGACTTATGCTGGGAAGTTTCTCAACACATGAGAAGGCCAAGACAGATGGAGATCAAGGATTTTCAGATCTGTAGATGGTCAAGGAAACAAGGATTTTCTCCCAGAACTAACTAGAGAGAGAGGGAAGGCCCAGAACTGGTGCCTGAATTTGAAATTTTAACCTCTTACACTGTAAGAGAATACCCATCTGTTTGTGAAAGTCATATATTTGTGTTAATCTGTATTATAACAACCCTAGATGTATAGCAACAACACTAGATAACAGAGAGAGTGGTTTTGCTTGTACTTCGCATTATATACTAACAGATTTGATAGTCACTTATTGGCCATTGTCCCTTTATATATTTGTTAAACATTTGTTATCTTAATATAGTTACTTAGAAAATTATGTACTATTTCTGTTGATTATGCACATTATTTTACCCATATGCTTATATAGTTATATAATCCTAAGAAATGTTACATATATTTTTGCTAAATGTAATCACTGATACTTAACACATTATAGTGGGTTTAAAGAAAAACACTGAAGAGATCCTATCAATTATTAAAGATTACTTTTTTTTAAAAAAGTAAAATTTTTGTTTTTACACGGGTTTACTTACAAAATTTATATACATTGTTGTTCACACTGGGTCTTTCCCATTTCATTTATTTACCCTTTCCTCTACCCATCAAATTGTGCAACCCTATGATTACCTCCCTACCCATCCTCACCCCTCTGCTCATACCCCCTCGATCCCCCTTTCGATCCTCATACACGATTTACTAGTTATCTTCCTATTTCTACAATAATGGCCTTACAGAATATTTGTTCTTACGGGATTGAGTTAGTTCACTTAGCATAATTAATGCGCTTCAGTCCATCCCAATTTAGGTAGTGATTTTCAAAATCATTGCTCCTGTGTGCTGTGTAGTATTCCATCGTGTGACTGTACCATCATTTCTCAATCCATTTGATTGTAGTTGGACATTTGGGCTGTTTCCATATTCCTACGATGGTGTATAATCCTGCTATGAACACTGGTGTACATTTTCTGTTTGTGTCTCAGTTCTAAGTTTTCAAAATTATTTTGACTAGAACTTCTACAACAAAATGTATATCTGTATATATTTTCCTTTGCTCTTAATAAGTTAATAAACAATTTACTCAATTACCTTCCCATTTAAGGCTTTCATAGCCTTAACTGCATCTTCTCGATTACTGAAGTGCACAAAAGCATAATCCCGGATTTTCTTCACTCTCTCCACTGCACCTGAAAATAAATGAAAGTAACTCCATTGGAAAACTCGAGATAGAACTAAACATGATACATGTACTGTTTACATTTCAAAATTATTTTATTTGCTTTTTTGTTGTTGGGAGTGGGCGAATGACTATTTAAATTCAGAATTTCATCAAGTATATTTTACTTGTCTGGGTGTAAAATATACAATGTGATAGGGGTTTTTTGTTAATATATTATGAAAGCATTAGAAATAGTATGGATTTTTATGCTATGTACTTTAAAGATTATAAGCTCTGAGAGGGCACGGACAAGCTCTTTGCATTTCATATAATGCAAAAGTAGCACCTTATACATGGCAAAATAGGCGTTTGAATTGAAATAAATTATTAGTCATCTCATAAACACAGACTTAAGGAATTATTTTTTTGAAAATTTATGCTTTCATCAATACTCCCCCCTTAAAATACTGCTTACTTCTTTATATCTTAGATAATAGAATTTTAGAGACAGGAGGAGGACTTTATCAATGTTTGAATTTCACTTTTCATTAATTATGTTTACCTTAATTTGCTGTTGTTGACTGCTTTCGAATTGAGCATGACTCATAGTGACCATATATGAACAAAAGGCCTGAAGCCTCTCTATAATTATATTTATCAAAGTTCATAGAGTTACTTCTTCTTAAATAAAATATTGTTATTGTTGTTGATTGCTGTCAAGTCGAGCACGACTCAAAGTGACCCTATGAACAAAAGGCCTGAAGCCTTTCTATAACTATTGACATTTATCAAAGTTCATAGAGTTTTCAGAGACATGTTGTTTAGGAAGTACATGCTTCCAAACCTGTCTTAAACTGCAAGCTCCACCAAACTCTGCCCACTATAGGAAACCGTTACTGAAATCAGACAAAGTGAGAATGATTAATCCATTCACCTAGGAACCAGAACTTAGATCTCCTTTTCCAATACTCCTTTGATTTAAAGTTTCTGAAGGAATATTTGAGAGCAAGAGCATTCCCTGTCATCCTGTTCATTATTTCTAAGGACAGGAACCAATTTAGATGCACACTAATTCTGGATTAAGAATTACTTCTACAGAAATAGACATTACACATGTACACTAAGATATCAATTACACCACTGTTATCATAGCAAACACTGAAACAACCTAAATATCTATCTTTAGGGAAATGATTAAATATCATGCATTCATAACAAGGAATTTTTTTTAAGTTTTTATAACTTTATTTTTATTATTTGTGTGTGTGTGTGTGTACCGCCAAATCAGATTTGACTGGTGCAGGAGGAGATTGTTCCTCCTTCTCCAGCAAAGCATCTGGTGGATTTGAACCGCTCACCTCTGGGATTGCAGTGCAGCTTCTTGCCACTAGGCCATCAGAGCTTGCTCATAACAAGGAATTTTTAAAGAGAAAATAGACTTACAAGTATTTACATGGGAAGATAAAAATACCTATTGCTATATTGGCAATGTTACAAAATTAAAAGTACAATATTATAGCCTGTATGTTTTAAAAATCCTAATGTAAACATACACATGTAATTATGAACATAAATACACACACAAAAAGCTGAAAGGCTACAAATCAAATTGCTAATTAGGAATTATTCTTGGAAAAGAATTTCATGCTTTAATAGATACACTTGTATTTCACAACTCCTTTGCAATGATTATTTTTAAATACTGATGTAATAAAAAAGTAACAAACTTGATTTATTTGTATGCATTGTTAGGTAACATTGAGTCAGCACCCTGAGTACATAACAGAACAAACCCCACCCAATCCTGGGCCAGCCTCACAGTCTCTGCTGTGCTTAGACTTATTGTCTCAGTCACTGTGTCACTCTGTCTCATTGAGGTTCTTCCTCTCCTTTGTTAAAGTTCTACCTTTCCAAGCATGATGTCTTTTTCCAAGGACTTGCTCATCCTGATAACATGCCCCAAGTATGTGACATGAAATCTCACCATCCTTGCTTCTAAGTACTTGGCTAGCACTTCCTCTAAGATATATTTGTTCTTTGGGAAGCCATGGTATATTCCATAATTGTTACCGACACTAAAATGAAAACACTATTTATAAAATAAAATATTAAAATTACATTGATATGGGCCATAGTCTTTGCAATCACTTGCTATGCATCTGAGAACTGGTCAGTGAAAAAGGATGACAGAAGAATTGAGGCCTTTGAGTTACAGTGTGCCAAAAGAACAAAGAAGAGTGTTTTCGAAAAAGTGCGGCCAAAGTGCTCTTTAGAGGCAAAGGATGGTGAAACTTTGTCTCATATACTATGGGCATGTTGCCTAGAGAGGCTCTTTGTTGGAGAGGGACACATTGCTTGGAAAGGTGGAGGGTCAGCTTAAGAGGGGAAGGAAGGCCTTCAGTGAGATGGATTGACACAGTAACTGCAGCAATGGGCTTAAATGTGTCAGAGAGGATGAACATGGCACAGGATAGGACAGGGCTCAGGTCTGTCGTTCACAGAGTTGCTATATACTCAACAACACCTAACAACAGTAACAAAATTAAAAGGCAATTTGGAACCTGCATAATAATAACAACAAAGAAATAAAAAGCAAAAGAAACAAACCCATCTCATGCAAGGCTTGCACAGACTGATGGCAGTTTAAGGACTCAGGTAGTTGATCTTTATATTTTTATATTTAAAATTTTTAAAAATATTTTTCTCAATTAGTTTTAAAACCAGAACTTAGACCTAGGATGAAGACATGATAGATATTTGCTTGCCTGCACTCTTTTCAGAAAGAAGAGCTCTGGGGTTTTAGTTAGTAGGGAGTTGTGGGGCCAATCCACTGTGGGCAGTTTGAAGCCATTAGCTGTTCTATGAGAGAAAGATGAGTAATCTCCTCCCATGTGATTTACAGCCTCTGAAAACCCACTGGAAGGCTGACCATCAGGTGGTTCAGACTTGATGCCAATGGGTTTTGAGTTGAGATTAGAAGGCCAGTTGTCCTTTTTCATCTTGTTAGATCTCACTATGTTTATCTAGAGAGGCCTATCTTCTCCTGTCTTCAGTGACCGTGGATGAAATGGGAGGTGTTAGAGCAGATCAGAAAAGAAAAGGCAACTTCTTCCTACCTCTCCTTACCCGATTTATTCTTAGATTCAAAGTCACAAAAACAATGCGAGTTTCTACTGTACCACAGTTTTCAATGGCTGTGAATCCTCTTCCTTTGGAGTAATCATACAACTGTAATGTAAGAACAATTTCAAAATACTCTGACACTTTCCTTCCCTTCCTCCGCAGCACTCAGTTCTGAACTACAAACTACTTTTGCCAAAGATTATATAGACCACAATTAGCCAAGATGAAACAAAAAAAATTAATGATAGTATGTGAGACCATAAAGTGTAGAACTCATAATTAACTAGTTTCCAATTTGGTTTCTATTTCCTTCAGGGTCAGGGAGCGTCTTTATCATGACTCAACTTGCTGGTTAATGGTAATAATTGAGAAGGAGGAGGTAACTGAGGTGGACCTAGGCCTTTCTGATCTTGGCTCCTGACCTTCTGCACTGCTACGTCCCATAAAATGTAAGTTTCTTGAGGACAGGATTTGCTTCACAGGCGTCTCTGCATTGTCTTCATCCATTTGCAGCCCTGGGCCTTGTACATGTAATAAATATTCATGGGGCGCGGGAGATCAGCAGTCAGGCCACAAGCTGGCCTTTACCATCCTTTGGTAACACTTCAGATGTCGCACTTCAGATGCCAGTCAATAGATTTTCAATTTACATATTTCAAATCTGTTTGCATCCTTACGTGACCATATTCTGATGAAACTACTTTGCAAAACTAAATGTATGAAAATGTAATCTCATAAAACAGACAAATTAGAAAGTGACAATTTGCATCATAAAACTTGGTTTACTTCACACCAACGTTCACCACATGGCTTATTTTAATATGTTCCTTCTTTAGTTCATAGGATTTTGCTTATTGATCATCCCTGGGCAAAGAATAAGGCCAGGAAAATGTCAAGTTAAAATAACTGTGGTCTCTTATCAGTGGCTAATCCATCAGCTCTGAAAACCCTCAATGAGATGGACTGATCCGGTCACTGTAACAGTGAATTAGAGCATCTCAGACATGAGGACCGTGCAGGATAGGGCCACGTTAAGGCCTGTTGTTTGTAGGGTTACTAAGAGTCATGGTTGACTCAGTTCTAACAACAGCAAACACTTGAAGAAAAAAGTCTCAGAAATTCCAATATAAAGATTGGAAAAATAATGTCTTCATTATCAACTAGTCTAAAGTATATCAGTTGTCTTAACAGAAACACACTTGAATGTCAAAAGGTGAGTTACATCAGAACCAGGTGTGGTTCTTAATCAGCAGTATTTCATGGAGGTCGTGTTTTATACCACTGAGTTAGAACTGACCTGTTAGCTGGCCCTCCTGCAAGTTTTCAGAGGCAGTAAATTGCATGGGAGATGATTCATCCTATTTCTCTTTTAGAGCAATGGTGAATTTGAAATGTGTATCTTTCTTGCATTATCAGTCCAGTTCCTTACCACTGCATCACCAGAGCTCCCAGTCAGCAGCATTAGAATTTTTTACTGAACTCTTTACAGCTGGGAATGTTCAAACTGCCAGCCTTTAGGTTATCAGATGGGTCAACTCTCACTTATACCACGCAGGAGCCTCTTCTTAAATTCCGAGGCAAGAGGAAGTCCTAAACAGACTAAGTGTTTGGATTTCAACCAATGGAGACTTATGTTGCAGTTTTACTCCATCGCACAGGCTTGCTACAATTTAGAATAGACAACTACATAAAGAAATAAAGGGTTCCACTTCTCACTCCCATTGGGAGCTCTGGTGGTCTACTGGTAAAGAAATTACATTGCTAACTCAAAGGCAGGCAGTTTTGAATCCACCAGCTGCTCCATGGGAGAAACTTGGTCAGCCTCTGAAAACTCATTGGAATGGAGGGTCAGCTAGGAGTCGGTTCTGATTTGATGACATGTGACAACAACAACAATAACAACTCATTCTCATCAGGCTGGTTCCAGTGAATTCCAACTCAAAGTGTCTTCAATTCAGGGGTGAACATTCAGCTTTGTGCAAAGCATAACTGACCTTTTGTTTAGCAGGGTACCATAATGACTATACCACAAAATTATTTAAAAGTTAATGTGAAGGCGATGTTGTATAGGGCAAGATTTTAATCAGTTTTTCAGAAGGTCCCTATGCATTGTAGTTGACTTGATGGCACATCACAATAACAGATATTGTAACTGAATACATTAGTCAAGGGTATGTTAAATAAAACGTCTGTGAATGACTACATGAAAAATCAATATGATATGTAAACCTTCATTCAAAAGCCAAACAAGTAAAACTGGTAGTTTCACATGAGGGACGTTTTTTAGCACCTCACCCCATCCCCAGGTACCTCTGGCAATATCTAGACCCTTGTTTTAAATTGCTATGACCTGGCTCCTGTTAAAGAACACATATTGTACAGGACAGCCTCCACAATTAAGAATTATCTAGCCTTGAATGTCACCAGTGCTAAGATTAAGAAACTGTTCATTTGACCTATATTTGTGTCCATGCATTCATGGTAAGAAACTGTATTGCAATCCCAAAGGCCCACGGTCCAAATTTATCTTCTGCTTTGCAGGAGAAGGATGGACAATCCCCTCCCATGTGATCTACTGCCTCTAAAAACCCACTAGAGGGTCAGCTATGGATCAGTTCCAACTCAATGGCAAAGAACAACCACAATTATGCTATAGGCATGGAGAAAAGGGGTGGAAATGACCTATGAAATGATAGTTTAATGAAGGAGACATGGATTTGCCAAAGAATCACATTTGCTGTTATTATTAGTTTCCATCCAGTTGATTTTGATTCATGTATGGTACCCATGTGTTCCAGGTTAGAAATAGTCTATAGAGTTTTCTTGGCTGTCATTTTAACAACAGCAGATTGCCAAGCATTTTCTTATTTACTACCACCTAGTGGATATGAACTACCAAGCTTCAGATTAGCAGTCTGACATAAATGATGCAATCTGCTTATGCTAACTTAATATGCCACCTCAGTAACTGTATAGATTCTAAGTATATTGAAGACAATTATGAAGCTGAATAAATACAAAACTAAAAGCTCATAATTGGTGATTCAGAAGAGATTCATCGCTGCCTTTCCAGTTTCTGAGTCTGTAAATCACAAGGCAGGAGAGTGCTCGTTTTTCTCCTATGGAGCCTCTGGTTGACAGAAGCTCTCTTATTTCAAGGATATAAAAGGGTGTTTATAGTATATTTTGAGAAAGTAGTCTCGTGTGATATACTACCTGGTTTTATGTTGTTGAATTCCTTTTCAATCACCTCTTCAGATGTAGACAGCATTAGGTTTCTCACATACAGGATTTTCACTGATGACATTGTGTCTTCATCAACCTCTACTTCTGGCTCTGCCCAATCTACGGCAATAGGGTGTCCCCATAACTGAATTCGTCCTGTGAGAAATGATCACAAGTATAAGCTATGTATAGCTTAGAGAACAGAACAACAGTACATTAATTCATGAGTATGGCCCTTTACATGGAAACCAGTCCTTGAGACCTTAGGGAGCTCTGGTGACCTAGTGGTAAGATGCTGTGCAGCGACCCCAAAAGCACCTGGTTCAAATCTACTAGCAGCTCCAAGGCGGAAGGATGGGAAATCTTCTCCTGTGTGATTTATGACCTCAGAAGAGCTGCTGTAGGGTCAACCATGAGTTGGTTCTAACCAGATGGCACCCAACAACTTGCAATCTTAAATGGTGAGAAGATCCATAATATGAAAGGAAGTGATTGCTGAGCTTTAAGAGGCCTTTTGAATAAAGTGTTGGTTAAAATCAAGTTCAGTGTGACTTGAGGTTCATCATCCTCACGAGGCAACTGAGATATGATTTAAAAATGAAGAGAAGTGAGGCAGCAGTGGGCACGTGCGGGCAGCTCTCATGATGTGATGGAAACGGTGGAACAGGAGATGATGGAAGAGGAGGAGCAAAGAAAGGATTAGAACTCAGACATAGAGTCTGACTAGACCACACATTAAAAAGGTCCCAAGAAAATGACTGCTGATCTTGGACCGTGTTGTTTTCTTGGCCAGGTATCACTATGGAGTTGTTAAAAAACTGATACTTGGGGAAGGGTGGTAGGTAGGCCTCAAGCATCCCTGGTTTCTACTCTGACTCACACTCAGATACGCTGTGTTCCTTCCTAATTCTTTCTGTCAGAAAGCCTGAAGGGGGAAAAAGTTACTCAAACTAAAAAGATAATAGATGAGCAAAGACAAGGTATGTGTGATAAGCAATTTAACTTCTTTTGAAAGAGTAATTAGTATTTATGATTAAAAGTATTTTTGTATTCCCATAGCTAAAATTTATTGTCTCACAATGTATTTATTATGTGTTTCCCACGTGCTCTCTCAGTTCTTTCTCACAATAATTTTGTGATGAGGAGAATGACTCGATTCTATAGAACAGGAAACACATTTAGAAAGGATAGCTTGCCCAGACCTGTTTCACTTTATGACTTCTCCCTTTTTCTTTCTCTGACTCAGCACCTATATAAACATCACCTAACCCAATCCCTGCTCTCACTCCATTCCTGGTTACCATAGAGATGACCTCCCGTCATGGCAACCTCCATGTTTGTCACAGTGGAACTGGACTCCACAAAGCTGTTAGTGTCTGGTGTGTTGGAAGTAAATCCCCAGCGTGCCTATACGTGAACTTGGGAAGTCACCTTTTCAGTGAGCATCTAAGAGCAGTAACTGTTTGACCTGAGGTCTCTCCTGTATCTCTGCACAGTTCATAGTGATGCTGGGGTGATGAGAAGGGGATTGGTGTTAAGTTCTAAATTTAATTAGAAATCTGGTTTTTCTCTTATTACTCATTGGAACAAGTCATATCCTGGAAACAATTTTAAGAAAACAATCAGGAATTGTCGCTACAGGAAGCTTATTTGCTCCACATGAGAGGCAATTCTTTTTAATCAATCATTGAGGAGCTGTCAGGGAAAGCATCTGTGGCACTGCCATCCAAAAATCCAAACAGCGACTACCAAAAACAAATGCCATGCTGTCAAGTTGATTCTGCCATCAGCCGTGCAAAACAGAGCAGCATTACTTATAGGGTTTCCCCCGCTGTAAACACCATGGAAGTAGACCGGCTTATCTTTCTTCCATGGAGTGACTTGTGGATTCAAACTGCCAACTTTGCAGTTAACAGCCAAGTAATTAACCACTGTGCCACCATGATCCCTTATTCTTTACATGTCCAGTGTCATCAAGTCAATTTTGACTTATAACAGCTTTTAGAGCAGAGTAAAACTTCCTATAGGGTTGCCAAAGATGTAGTTGTTTAGGGGAAACAGACCACCATATCTTTCTCTTGAGGAGCAACTGGTAGATTGGAACAATCAACCTTTTGGCTAGTAGACAAATTCCCAGCCTCTGTGCCAGAAGGGTGCCTATTCTTTATGTTGTTGTGTACCATGGAGTTGGAACCGACTCACAACTGAACCTCCAGCAGGCTTTCAGAGTTGGTAAATCTCACAGGAGGAGATGGTTCATCCTTCTCCCGCAGAGCAGAGAGTAGATTCAAATAACATGCCTTTGATTATTTGTGCTATAGCTAAATTCCCAAACTCTTTGGGCTTTAGGTAGGTCTGATTTTCTGTAACACAGTGTTTTTTTCAACCTTGACCTCATGTCAGAACTATGTACTGTTAGTCGAGTCTGACTCAGTGATCCTATCAACAATGGCTCTGAATCTTGTTTTCTCCCATGCTATCCTCATCGTCTCTGACTCACGTGATTCAGAACTACGTAGCAGAGCTTTAAAAACCTTGAAACCTGAGTTTCACTTAAAGATATGTTAGGCCAGCTGCTATGAACTTGCAAGAATATAATAACACATTTTCTGAATTTTGTGAACCGGCTGATATTAGATTGGTAGACTGACACCTGAACACCACCAGCATTTCCTGGGAATTTGTTAGAAAGGCAAAGTCTCCAGTACCACACTGATCTACTGGACTCTGGTGGAGGCACCCAGAAATCTGTATTTAACAAGCTCTCTCAGTGGTTGTGTTGTACACTAATGTTGAGAATTGCTGATCCAGAGTATAAGAATATAAACTTAAAATAATGCCAGGGATTTGACAAGAATCCCCCCCACCCCCAAGCATCTTTCGGAGTCTCTGAGTTGAACACAACACTTTTGTACCTTATACCATTTAGCAGAACTTTGAGATATTTTTCCCCTTAAGTCAATCTAAGCATGACCAAGGCAATATCTTGTTGAAATCTTTCTGATTCAGAAATTGAGGATTATTTCTCCAGTATACCCTATCATCTCTATCAGAGCGGCTCTTGACAAAAGTGCTTTTTTAAGAAGAGCTTTTATCTCCATTTCTCTAAATCAGACAGAAATTATTAGATACTTAAGAGTTATAATAAAAGTGTATTATTCAATAGTCCTTGGGATAATGTATCACTTGAAGCTTTGCTATCTCTTCATTATAACAGGTAATACAGTCTAAAGAGGCTTAATTTTATATATCTATATCTATAAATTTTTTATATAATTTAAAGAAAAATTCTTTATTTTTACATTTCATTGTAAGTTGGTTACATCTAAAAATTCTGGGCTTCTCTAGGACTTTGGAAGCAATGCTAAAGTAACTAGTGCTCTGGTGTTAAAGTGAATTCATTTCAGTGCATTGCAAGTATTGTTTTTCAGAACCCAGTTGTTGAAAATCTCGGGGAATTCTACCTACTGAGACATGGAGAAGGAGCTCTGGTGGTGCCGTGGCTAACACATGCACCTGCTAATCAAGAAGTCACCAGTTAGAATCTACCAATTGCTTCACAGTCTGGTTCCAGAAAGACTTCGTAGCCTCGGAAGCCCTCTGGGGACAGTTCTACTCTGTCCTATTTGGACAGATCATAACAGTGAGTTGGAATCAACGCTGGCTATGGTAGGAGGGTTTGAGGTATTTTAAGAAGGATGAATTTTAAATACAGCATAAGCCAATAAAGAGAACGAAACGAGAATAAGCTTCTGCTTTCTTTGATGCTAAGTACACTAGCGTGAGACAAGCAACATGGGATGTAGGTAGAGCTTATCTCTGAGAAGGGGGTTGCTCAACCTGGTAGCAGTTTCCTCCTGGCCATGGCGGCTGCCCGATGACTCTCATACTCCACAAAGGCAAAGCCTCGGTTTTTTGTTTTATCTGCAGCGCTGGGGTAGACAATGACGTCCACAACGCCATCGGTGACCTTCTTCATCTCGGACAAGATCTCTTCTCTTTTTTTGGTTTTGGGGATACCCCCAACAAACAATCGGCAATTGTCCACACTGGCACAAACCCCTAAGAGACGTCCATTTCTACCAAAGAGAAAGAAATAGAAAGAGAGAATGTTTACATTTTTTAGAATATTCATGTGATTAGGATTTAAAACAGAAGAAAATGTATGGCCTGGGCTCGGCGTAGCCAGCAATTGGAGAATGACTGAGCTTCGTAATGCTTAGAAGATTGTTTTGGAGAGTTGTATTTTCGATGGGGAATTTGGAAATCTGTCCGTCCACTCATTCACTGCCTTTGAGTCAGAACAAGCTCGTAACTGACCCTCTAGCAGGTTTTGGGTGGTTGTAAATCAATCACACAGAAAGAGATGGTCCATCTTCCTGCTGCGAAGCTGCTGGCGGGGTGGAAGTGCCTCTTTTTGGGACAAACTGTAACTATGCTGCAAGTTCTAGGCTTGTATGTTGTCGCTGGCAGCTGTCACTGAGTTGACTACAGCTCATAGTAACTCTCTGAACAACAACAGGTCTAAGTGTTACCTTGCCAGGGACCACCCTCAC